ATCCTGCATCAAGAAATCAGAATGTAATTTTACACTTGGGAGTTGTATGGAGAATGTGCATTAGTGAATAGAAACATTGCAAAACTGAATGTGCAAACAACTGTGAAACGCACAGTTGCAATATCCAATGCACATCTGGTTGTGCAAGGTACAATGACATCACATGCACAATGGCACCTGATGTTGAACATCAACTGAATACATAAGAAAAAGTACAACCACGTGTGTAAGGGATTGTAAGTACCGTATGTGTAGTATGATATCATTCATAATCCACAAGACAATACCTTTTACATGTCATGAGCTTTCAAAGCGCCACTGGTTTCTTCATCAGGCAAAGGTGTTAGAAATCATACAGGAGAACGAAAAATATGATCTTGTTAGCGTTACAGGCCTACATTTTGCCAAGATGTTGCATTTTAGCCGCAACAGGGGAATCCTAAAGAGACTTTACTTTTGAGGTTTCTACCTCCAACAAAGGTAAAACTTTATTTAAATGGGAATGCATTTGATGTGCTTTACCTTAACAGCGCTTAAAAGTTTTCCAAATGCAACACCAGTGGCTTCTTGAGAAATTAAATATTCTCTGCTTAATAAGTGAGTGGGTGAAAAGGACAGAGGCAACCTGTATCTCGAAGGACGCATCTTTTGTGTTGCTAATGGAGTTTAAATTTTATTGATTTTTGTGGGGTTTTTTGGGCTGTGAGGCCATGTTCTAGAAGAATGTATTCCTGACGTTTCACTTGCATCTGTGGTTGGCATCTTCAAAGAATGGTGGCATGGAGGCCTGCATTTAAATTTTATTTCTTGGACTTTACAACTCTTTGTCTCCCAGAAACCACATGGCCAGAAGGGAATGGATTCTGCCTATGGACAGCCTTCCATCCCATCTTAACTGAGAACAACAACATCTTGGCAAAATGTAGCCTGTGACTGATATTATCATATTTTACTTTCTCCTGTACGGTTTTTAACACCTTTGCCTGATGAAGAAGCCAGTGGAACTGCGAAAGCTTGCATTATGTATTTTGTGCATTTTGGTTGGCCCAGTAAGGATATCACTGTTTTGTGGATTTTGGATGTTATTGTACTTTGCTGTATGGCCGACACGGCTACCCCTGGCTATGCATGCATGTATAAGTCACTAACAGGATGCCAGCTTTGTATCTATGTGGAGATATCTGCAATTCTGCCACACTTGTGTAGTTTACTCCAGCGAGCAGCTTTTCTTTGAATTTGCTTCTCTCTCTTTAAAATACAGCATTCTAAACTTCCCAAGCAAGGAGTCAGAACTATTAAACCGGACCACAACCACACAGAGACATAAAGAGACGTATGCATTTCTTACCAATGGAGCAGAAGGGCCTCCAAATGGAGTAGAGGCTCCAAATCCCGGTCCAGTCTGGGGGGCTGTAGGCTGTGCTCCGCCATCACTTGGTGGCTGTCCAGGGGCAGGATACATCCCTGATGCCCCAGGTGGGACAACTCCTGGTGCACTAGGATACCCACCTGGTGCTGGGGGGCCCCCAGGATATGCGCCTGGTGCTGATGGCGCTCCAGGGTATGCGCCTGGTGCTCCTGGATATCCTCCTGGTGCACCTGGGTAAGCACCTGGTGCTCCAGGAAACATGCCTGGCGCTCCTGGATAGGCCCCAGGAAATCCCCCTGGATAGCCACCTGGCTGATTTCCCCACGGAGAAGGTTGCGTGTTTGGGTTGGGATTGTTGGACCCTGACAGGGCATCAGACAGCTGTGGGAGAAGCAGAATGACAGCAGTCAGATGCCGGTATTTGCAAGTTAAAACATTTTGTTGTTAACCGCCCTCGAGTCGATCCTAACTCATGGCGACGCCATGGATGAGATATCTCCAAGAGTCCCTATCCTCTCCTGTTCTGCTTAGGTCCTGCAAATTCATACCCGTGACCTCCCTAATAGAGTCCATCTATCTAGCATGCAGCCTTCCTCTCTTTCTACATCATTCCACCATTCCTAGCATTATTGTCTTTTCCAGTGTGTGTTATCATGACGTGGCTAAGGTATGACAGCCTCAACTTTATCATCTTTCCTTCCAGGGAGAATTCAGGCTTCATCTGTTCCAGGACTCATTTGTTTGTCCTTTTGGCCATCCACAGTATCCTCAGCACTCTTCTCCAGCACCACATTATCTCAAATGAATTGATTTCCTTCCTTTCTGCTTTCTTCACTTTCCAACTCTCACATCTGTACATAGCGAGGGGGAATACAATGGCTTGGACGATTCTAACATTAGTGCTCAGTTGTATATCTTTACTCTTTAGGATCTTTTCTAGTTCTTTCATAGCTGCCCTCCCCATTCCAAAAAAGATTTTCAAACTAAAAAAAAATTAAATGTTTTAACCCACACATCTCTACTATTCCAATTGGCTGGGTTTACACATAGCATATGGACATCTTTGACAGAGAGCTGCCCATCAAACTGGGGTACAAGGTTGGACCGTGCTGGTGAATCAATAAGAAGAAATTATATTTGCTGATTTTGCCATTTTCCATATTTTATTATGCTATTGTATTTAATGAGACTTGAGCATCCACAGATTTTGGCATCCATGGTTGGACCTGGAACCAAACCCCAGCGGATACCAAGGGACCACTGTATTTTTAATAAGTTTGTGCATGAAACAAAGTTTGTGCACACTGAACCATCAGAAAGCAAGGATGTCATCATCACGGCCACCCATGGAAAAAGTTTTGTTTTTGAAATATTATGAATTTAGAAATTCTGGATAAGGAAGACTAAACCTGTACTACTAATAACAATTAATAGTACTAATACTAGTACTAATATTTTTCCAACTCAAGGTGACTTTTTCTGACTCAGACTGACTTACACCAGTTAAAACAGCTAAAAGCATGCATCATGCAAAAGTTAAAATATAATTAAACTCTCAATAGAATTAAAAGAAATTAAAAGCATTGCCATTATAAAACAAAAGCAATCGATAACACATTATTCCCCATGAGAGCAGTCAGTCCTCAAATGTCTGTTGAAAGAAACAAAGTCTTTACTTGCCTGCAGAAAAGACAGCTCTCCTATGCCAATCTAATTTCTCTAAATAATACCTTATTAAGAAACCAACACTTACCGAAAATCCGTCAGACATCTTTCCTGGGGGAGAAAAAAGAAAAAGGAACAGATTAATGCTGCATAGTATTTCCTTAGATGTCACCAGTAGGACCTCAAAGCAAACAAGCTCATTTTAAGGATCTAATCCAGAATTTGCCGTGCTGCTGTGAGAACAAAGTGAAATATCACACATACACACATACACACACCCCAATATACTTGCTGCTCCACCTCCCTGGAGCAAGAGGAGATGTGAATATAATAATGTGTTATTAAGCAATATACAGTCTCTCCCTTGCCATACGGATTCTGTCTCCAAACATGCATCTGAGGAAATAGGTTCAGGTCTAGGAAAGCTCAGGCTATCAACTTCTTTCTTTCAGTCTCAAAGGTGCTACAAGATCCCTTTGCATACTGATGTTCTGACAGGTGTTTTGGTCCTCCTCAATGTTCTTCTGAGATCAGAAAAATTACAACTACAAAAATCTGGCTGTGGGATCCTAGAAATTATAGTCTAACAGGAGCACGCTGCCTTAGAAGGTGGTGGAGCCTCCTTCTTTGGAGGTTTTAAGCAGAGACTGGATGGCCATCTGTCACAGAGTGCTTGGATTGTGTCTTCCTGCATGGCAGAATGGGGTTGGACTGGATGGCCCTTGGGGTCTCTTCCAACTCTTAGGATTCTATGAAAATTGTATGGGGGGGGAATTCTATTCTCTGATGTTACTTTGAGGGTGGTAGAGAATGGTGGGTGAGGCTGAAGGCTCAGCTGTGCCTTGTTTGCTTTAGAACAGAGCAGGGTAACATCTGGCCTCCAGATGTTTTTAGCCAGAACTGTTGTTAGAAGGGAACCCGATAGATCATTCAGTCTAGGAATCCACAGCGAAAGGTTCCCTACCAGGTGGCATACCCTCCAACTGTCCTGATTTGGCAAGGACAGTCCCAATTACTTCTCTGCCATCCCACTTTTTCAGCTGCCTTTAAAATGTCCTAGTTTCTCTCTCCTCCTTCTACTCCCCCCCTTTTGTCCTCAGCTTACTTCAATGGCTGCAAAGTTTTTCTTTGAAATGCAAAAAAAAAAAAAATGTTTGTACTCAATTAGTTCAGCTGGGAGGAGAGGAGGAGAAAGGAACTTGCCCTTTCCAGGAGGCTCAGCCAAAAGTGAATTTCTACAGACTGTCCTAACTTGGGTGTTCTTCCACACTGATAACTTTTGCCATCTTGACCTCAGTCTGACATTGTTTGACCACTTGTGTCCTGGTTTTCATTATATTGGAGGGTGTAAGGTAACCATCCGAGTTCTGCTTTTGAAAAGCACCAACGAAGCAGAGTCCGCCACCTTCCAAGGTAGTCTGTTCTACTATCAAACAGTAGTAGTTCTCTGTGACATTTTGTTAAAATCTTTCCTTCTCTGAGTCCATTTCCTTGGGTCCTACCCACTGGGGGATCAGGAACCAAGTTAGCCCATTTTCCAAGTGACAACCTTTCAAATGTTTCATAGGGCTACTTGGGCTCATCTATACTGGCCAGAATACTCCTGGATGCTCCTGGAGTATTTTGGCCCCAAAGCTGCCTTGGATTCCTCTTGTTGGCTTCACACTTTGGAGCAACACTGGACAGATGTCTATAAACGCGTCCCACTGCAACGCCACCACTGTTGGCGCACGCTGCGTCCTCTGGGGTCAGAAATGAGGTGCCCAGCATCCATCACATGGCTGGGTGCCTCATTGTGACCTTGCTGTCATGGGTGCGATTCGTACCATTTTCAGTGGCACCAGCTGACACAGTGGAACGTCTGTGTAAACAGCTGCTCAGTGTTGTTACGGAGTGCTCCCGATTTTCCTGCAAAATCTGGAGCAAAAGGTGATTTTTTGGGTTTGTTTTTTTTTTTTACTCCAGAGCCAGTGTGGTATAGTGGTTTGAGTGTTGGACTACAACTCTGGAAACCAGGGGTTTGATTCCCCACTTGGCCATGAAACCCACTAGGTGACCTTGGGCAAGTTATACTCTCTCAGCCTCAGGGGAAGGCAATGGCAAACATCCTCTGAAGAAATCTTGCCGAGAAACCTCTGTGAAAGGTTTGCTTTAGGGTCACCATGAGTCAGAAACAACATGAACGCACATAACAACAACAACAACAACAACAACGGAGGGAAAGTGTGGACTTGGTGCAGAACTGGCCTTCCATTGTGAAAGCAGTCTGCACTCGAATTGGGGATCTGGCCGTATGTCATGTGGAGAGATCATCATGAGGAACTTCATTTGGCCTCTGCAGACATGTCTTTGGTCAACTCAAATCTCAAAACTCAACTCCCACAGCTGGTCCAAACAGGACAGTGTCTAGGTCTAGCCGAATAAAAGTGTTATTAGTGAGGAATGAGAAGGAATGATGGGAGCTGTAGTGCAACAACATCTGGAGGACCATACATCTGCCATCCCCAAGGTGACTAGATGTTTTCCTTTTCTCCGACATGTCCTACAATCCAACCTTCTGTCCAGGAGGAATTTCAAGAAGCAGGGATTTATATTGATATTAGTGTTTTGAGTTTCTATTTTGCAATGTCCTCTATTTTTTTGTGAATATCCTACGTTTTGCCTTGTCCTCCTATGTGGTTATCCTACCCACTGGGTCACTCTGCCAATCCCTGCATCAGAACACTGCAGACCCTTTAGAGCAGGGGTTGGCAAACTTTTTGGGGGTGGGGCCGGTTCCGGTGTCCCCCGGTCTTCGGCGGGCCGAAGGGGGCAAAAAAATGGCGGCAGAGGCACATGTGCGCAGGGCACCATTTTGCTTTCCAAAATGGCACCCGCAATTGCGCATGCATGTGCACCATGGCGGCTGCTATTTTGGAAAGCAAAACAGTGCCGGCGTCACAAGCGCATGCACATGATGCCGCCGGTGTTTTGCCTTCCAAAATGGCGCCCGCTGTGGTGCGCATACATACGCGAGCGTGGGGCACCTTCCAAAACGGCACCCCGCGCTCACACACACATGCGCACACAGACCTTCCAAAATGGTGGCTGCCGCCATGCACATGTGTGCGTAAGCACGGGTGCCATTTGGGAAGGCAAAATGGCGGTCCACGTTTGCTTGCGCGCGTGCGGTAATACCAGCGGCCGCGGCAACAGGACCGGCCATGGGCCGGTTTGAAGGCCTCGGCAGGCCGGGTTCGGCCCATGGGCCGTAGTTTGCCAATCCTTGCTTTACAGAAACACAAACTGAAATGTAATTCCAGTATGCAATGTGGTTGGGGAAGAGGCGGAGGTCGGAAAGGTGGACCAAAGACAAGTTCATGGTAAGCTAGAGGAGGACTCTTTCAGGGTGGTCTTTGCAAAGAACAGAATTAATGTTGATATTTGATGTTTTCACTTGTTTTTTATGATGTTTTAATTTGTTGTTTTACTTTTAGATTGTCCGCCACAGGCAGGCTTTTTATATATTCTGGATTTTATTTGGTTTTGTACAGCGCCGTGTACATCTACGGCACTTAATAAATAAAGCTAATAATAATAATAATAATAATAATTATTATTATTATTATTATTAAACCAAAACTTATGAAGAAATGCAGGCAAAGTGCAAGAACGCTTTGCAGGCGGCACTCCCCATGGTCTGCCTGTTTATTTCCTTCTGCATCTTATGCACATGGGGTTGACTCATCTTGGAATAAACTCTGGAGATTGCCCAAGAACTCGTTGCAGTTTCTCAACACAAACAGAGCTGGTTTGTTGAAAGGGATCAACACACACACACATAAATAGACAGTGTTTGAGGATCGCCCTGGTTGAAAAGCCCATGCTGCACAAACAGGCTCTCTTCATATTCAAAGGGATATTTCCCGCAACTTCCATAACACCTTCTTTCGGGAAACACAAACAGCGATTGTCCACAGCTTCAATCCAAAGTCGGGGAAATGTGAGTCATTGCTTGACACACCCGTGGACTTGGCTTGGGAGTTCCAGCTTCCCAAACTATTCAGCAGAAAGTTTATTTGTCATACGACACAAGCTATTGCCATGGTAAATGAGAGCCAGCGTGGTGTAGTGGTTTGAGCGTTGGATTACAACTCTAGAGATCAGGGTTTGATTTCCCACTCAGCCATGGAAACCCACTGGGTGACCTTGGGCAAGACACACTCTCTCAGCCACAGAGGAAGGCAAAGGCAAACACCCTCTGGACAAAATTTGCAAGAAAAACCTGTGATTGGTTCACCTTAGGTTTATCATATGTACAATTTCAGAATCATGGAGTTGGAAGAGACCCCCAAAGGCCATCCATTCCACCCCTTGCCTGTGTTCACCACTTTGAGTTAAATATGTTAAAAGGTATTGTTGTTGTGTGGCTTTAAGCCATTCAGTTTGTGCAAACTCAGTTTGAAATCCCAGTAGGCTCAGGCAAAAGCAAACTGCGACCACCTTTCCTAGCTTGTGTATTCTTAACTATTAAAAACTTTTGACATCTTGGCCCCCACCCCCCATTTTTTGATGTTTCGTAGCCAAACATGCAAAAAAATTTATCTGTGAAATGTTGGAAAGAAATTCACAGAAACCATGGACAAGTCACACACTCTCAGCTCCAGAAAACCTTGTTCGCCTTAGGGTCACCATGAGTCCAAAATGATTTGAATGTTTAATCTGCCTAAGTACCCTAAAGGCACCAGATCCCATCTAATCTTGGGAGCTAAGCAGGGCCATCCCTGGTTAATATAAGGATGGGAGATTGCCAATGCAAAACCATCTCTGAATAGGCTGCATCCTTTCACCCGATCTGTTCAACTTGTATGCAGAACATATTATAAGAAAAGCAGGCTTGGATCCAGGAGGAGGAGTGAAAATAGGAGGAAGGAATATCAACAATCTGAGATATGCAGATGACACCATAATACTAGCAGAAAACCTCACAGACCTGGAACAACTACTAAGGAAAATCAAAGACAAAAGTGCAAAGGCAGGCCTACTGTTGAACATAAGGAAAACAAAAATAATGACCACCGAGGACCTTCATAAGTTCAACCTAGACAATGAAGAAATAGAAATAGTAAAAGAATTCCCAAACCTGGGATCAAACATTGACAGAAATGGGGATGGCAGTCAGAAAATCAGAAGAAGACTAAGAATGAGGAGAGTGGCTATGAAAGAACTAGAAAAGATCCTAAAATGCAAAGACATACAACTCAGCACAAAAGTTAGAATCATACAAGCCATTGTATTCCTTATTACCATGGATGGATGTGAGAACTGGACAGTTAAGAAAGAGGATAGGAGGAAGATCAATACATTTGAGAGAATGTGGGTCTGGAGAAGAGTGCTGAGGATCCCATGGACAGCCAAAAGGACAAACAAGGGGGTCCTAGAACAGATCGAATCAGAAACCTCCCTGGAAGAATCCAAGATGACCAAACTAAGAGACTGTCGTACTTTGGACACATCATAAGAGATGACTCTTTGGAAAAAAACCAATAATGCTGAGAAAGGTGGAGGGAAGTAGGAAGAGAGGAAGGCCACATGCCAGATGGATGGACTCTATGAAGGAGGTCCCTTTAGGTTGCAGGGATTAAGCAGAGCAGTGGAGGACAGAGGGTCTTCTTGGAGATGTCTCATCCAGAGAGTCGCCATGAGTCGAGATCGACTCGAGGGTAGTTAACAACAACAAAGGAAACCCTATCAAATTCATGGGGTTTAGCCCTAAATAAAAACAAGAGGTCCCCAAGCTACTTTCAGATTCCAGCTTTCTTTGCAAAAATGAATTTGGAGAATGAAATGAAAAGGTTAAGCCATGGGCGCTTTAAGAATGTAAGAAGGAAAAAGAAGCGAGAAAAGGAAGCCAGGCTGCCAGAATGAAGGCAATGTATTGTCCTCTAGATTGAGACTGTGTGGTGTTGAAGTCTAGAGTAACGGTGAAAGGTCTGGAAACCATCAAGCCCTATGAGGAGAGACTTAGGGAGCTGGGGATGTTTAGCCTGGAGAAGAGAAAGTTAAGAGGTGATATGATAGCCGAGTTTAAAAATTTGAAGGGATGTCATGTTGAGAATGGAGCAAGCTTGTTTTCTGCTGCTCCAAAGAACAGAACTCGGAAAAATGGATGCAAGCTACAGGAAACTATTTATTCCACCTCAGCATTAGGAAAAACTTCTTGATGGTAAGAACTATTTTCTCCCAAGTAAACCTTACTAAATATCCAGTGCATGGCCAAAAGCTCTTCTATCAGGGCACCCTCTCAATGATCTGAATGGAAAATTGGGGACTAGTAGTTAAGAGCCACATGTAGCCCTCTTGTAAAATGCTTTCCCCCAGGGAAATCTGTGTGTGGCACCAAGCAAATCTCTTTTTATTGTCCCCAGCCATTACAGTATGTCGGCCTGAACTAATTTTTATTGTCATCGGCAACCATTCCGTCACTCTACTGGCTTTAAAATCTGGCGACTGCACTTCTTAGGTTTGGATTGTTGCAGCTGAAAACTAGAGGGTTTTTAATAGAATGGTATTATGATGGAATTTAGCTGATAGTCTCTCATTCTTTTGCAAGCCAACTTTGCAACCGAAGAGGTATGTGATCATCAAATGAACGGATAGGTTCGGAAGCTAGTCTGAAATAATCAGAAAGGAATTGCCAACTAAAATTGAGAAACACTTCCTGAGGGTAAGAGCTGTCTGACAGTGGTGGACTTTTCTTTGTTTGAACATTTTAAACATGTTGGATGTCCACCTCTCTGGAATATTTTAGCTGTCGCTTCCTGCACTGGTTCCAGGCAATTGGATCAGAGCATCTTTAGGATCCAAAGATCCCAGTGCTTTCAAATTAGAAGTAAGGAAATTCTGGCTAAATATTAAGAAGGACTTCATAACAATAACACACCTCCCAATTCATCCCAATTTGGCAGGAACAGTCATGATCAGTCCTCTGTCATCCCACTTTCTCAGCTGTTCTTAAAATGTCCCAGTTTCTTTCTCCTCCTTCACTTTCTCCCTTTGTTCTCAGCATACTTAAACTGTTGCAAACTGGGCACAAACTGCAAAAGTAATTTCTGGTCAATTAACCCAGGAATGGAGAGAGAAGGGTGGGTAAGATCTTGCCCTTCCCAGTAGACACAGGCAAAAGCAAACTGCAGCATCCTCTCCTTGTGCATTCTTTCTGATTAATAACTTTGGACATCTCAACTCCACTCAGAGATTGCTTGGCCACATGTGTCTTGAGGTGTATCCATACTGTGGAATTAAAGCAGTTTGACACCACTTTAATTGACATGACTCTACCTTACAAAATTCTGGGATTTATAGTTTGGTGAGCCACCAGAGCTCTCTGACAGACCAGGCTGAACATCCCACCAAACTACAAACCCCATGATTATGTAGGAGTCACACTGTAGAAATAATGCAGGTTGATACCACTTTTAAGTGCTGTAGCTCCATCCTATGGAATCCTGGGACTTGTCGTTTTACAGGATCTTTAAAACTACGCATCCCAGGATTCTGTAGGATGGAGTCACGGCAGTTCCAAGCTGCTTTAATTCTGCAGTGTGGATATAAACGTGGTTTTATTCTGCAAGATATTAGAGGGCCGTTCAGCACTGGAATAAACTGCCTTAGAAGATAGTGGAGTCTCCTTTGTTGGAGGTTTTAAAACAAGGGTTAGATAGCCTCTTTTTGGGATGCTTTAGCATTGCATTTGAGGACTGGCAGAGGGTTAGAGATGATGGCCCTTGGGGTCCCTTCTGACTATATAGTTTTGATCCTCAGTCCTCAAAGGAAATCTTAGAGAAGAGTTTAAAAGGGGATTCCAAACAAAAAAAGCAGCTAGTTTTCACTCTCATTCTATCAAAATTGTCACCTGTTTTCCTTTCGCTGGTGAATAATGCCTGGATTCGAACATCACCATACCATTCTAGCACTTTAACTGCCCTGGCTTCACTCTGCGGGGTCCTGGGATTTATAGTTTCATGAGGTACTTAGAATTCTGTGCCAAAGAACTCTGCTCCTGTTGTTTCAGGGAAATGAGTCCTAATAGTTCTGTGACCTAACAATGCTGTAATTGCAGGACTGTTGCTGCAACCGGCCAGCAGCAACGCCACAGCGCTGGAAGTCGCGCTAAAGCTTTCTACGCAATCCCAGCCTCCATTCAGCTTCTTCCAGCCTCCCCAGTCTTGCCCTTGGAAGAACAGGTGAGCTCAATGGGCTAAAAAGTAAGAACCTGGTGGTTTTAATTCTTGCAATTCTTGCAACTGTTATACTTCTGCTTCTCTCTCATCAGTCAGCACAACTGTCAGTTAACCCTGGCTTTCTTGGAGACACTTTAATCCTAGACTAAATAGCAAGGATAAGAGGCAGAAAATGTCCCGTTTTTTTTCTCTTCCTCCCGCTTTCCCCCTTTTGTCCTGGGTTCTTTTAATGGCTGCAAATGGAGTTCCAACTGCAATCTGATTTTGCACTCAACTCAGTCAGGCCGAATCTACACTGTGGAAATAATGCAGTTTGACACCACTGTACCTGACATGGCTCCAGGCTACAGAATCCTGGGATGTGTAGTTTGGCAGAGATGGTGAAAGATCTTGTAAAACTGCAAATCCCAGGATTTCGCAGGATGGTGCTACAGCACTTAAAGTGGTTCCAAACAGCATTATTTCTACAATGTAGATGCACCCTCAGTGGAAGGAGAGGAGAAAAGATGGTGGAATCTTGCTCTTCCCAGTAGACTCAGGCAAAAACCTAGATTGTCTGTTCTTCCTCAGGAATAACTTTCGCCATCTTGACCACACTCTGATGTTGCTTGGATGCACATGTCCTAGATTTCATCTCTGAAATACTGGAGCATATATTGAGCCGGTGTGCTGAGTGTTGGACTACGCTTATGGAGACCTAGGTTCGAATCCCTGCTCAGCTGCGGAAACAAACTGAGAGCCAGCTTGGCATAGTGGTTTGAGTGTTGGACTAATTGTCTCTGGAGACCAGGGTTCGATTCCCAGCTCAGCCATAAAAACCACTGGGTAATCTTGGGCAAGTCACATGCTCTCAGCTTCAGGGGAAGGCAAGGGCAAACCTCCTCTGAACAAATCCTGCCAAGAAAAACCAATGATAATGAGATGGAAAGGTTTCAATAATCAATATATTTGAGCTATCTATGTTAGAAATGTAGGAAAATAGATGCCAAGTGGCCACATAGAGAGGATTCTGGGAGTTGAGGCCTCTGAAAGGAATGAAATGCTGGAAAGTTTTAATACCAGAAATGCTGAGAGACAGAAGGACCTTTTGAAGGACTGATGCATTAAGACGCCAGATTGGGGTATAGCAGCCATAATAAATCACTGATAGGAAGACCCAGAAACTCTGTGCAAAGGGGCCCATGCTACCCTCTTTCCTTATTCAGAGGCCGGCAACCTTTGTTGCTAGGGGGCCGAGGGGGGGGAATGGTGCGGGGGAGCGGAGGGGCGTGCGCATGCATGCGGGCTCAACGCGGGTGCCATTTTGGAAGGCCCCCCCCACGCCCACGGCAGACGAATTCGCCCGGTGCAGCTGCGGGGGGGGCTTCCCTGAGCCTTGGAAGCCCCCCCCCCGCGCCTGCGGCGGGCAAATTTGTCCGGCGAAGCCACGGTGCGGCCTCCTGAAAACCCAACGGCAGCTGCGCGGTAGCTGTGGGGCCTTCCAAAATGGTGCCTGCCGCACGCGCGAGCACAGATGCCATTTTGGAAGCCCAAAAGGAGCCTGTGCTTGTGCACGGGGCACCGGCGTGTGCAGGGCGCCAGCGGCAGGACCGGCCACGGGCTGGTCCCAAGGCCTCCGCGGGCCGGGTGCCGTAGGTTGCTGGCCCCTGCTCTTATTGATTGAGATTCTATATGTTTAAGGTTTGAAATATCCAATAAGGTGTAAGAATTGGATTTCTTTGTTTGGAGGTGTATAAATGAAGCCATTTTCTTCTGTTCGTGGCCCAAAACTTTGGAATGCTACATAATTCCTTTTGGGACTGCCGGCATAATAAACCTGTGTTTACAAACTGACTTCGGTCCCCTCTCTTGCTTTTGCTCTGCCAGTAACTGAAAGTGCTGTGGGCTGATAGCTCACAGGTTCATTAATTCCATTACAATAGGTTTGCTTTAGGGTCATCATAAGTCAGAAATGATTTGAAGGTACACAACAACAACAACAACAACATCAAATATAACTCCAGGGTGAGAGTTGCTCAGATGGAGATGAAAGAGAAAGCTTGTACTGCTGCCCTTGAGTTCTTTTGTTCATTGCACTTGCAAAGTCTAAATTTTCCAGGCGCAGAACATATTATTATTATTATTATTATTATTATTATTATTATTATTATTATTATTATTATTATTGAACAATTCCAATGTGAAAAGGGAGACAAGAGCCTCAGGATTTGAAAAAGAAGCTGTATATGGTAACTACCACCAGAATGTTACTGGCCCCAACTGGAAAACAGGTAAAGTAAAATTACAGCAATAAAAGAGTGGACATGATAGAATTTTTAGACAAATTAAAAACACTGGTTGAATCACAAAGCAATAGAGAAAGTAGAAAAGAACTGGTCTCCCATTGAAGAACTTTGTAAAAACAGGTGGAAGGAATAACAGTGTTAAAGATGTGATGCAAAGAAAAGTTAAACATGTGAGATTCATATTACTAAATTATATTATTAGTATAATGAAGAGACAAGAATTTAAAAATGTATGCCAAATCATAAGTAAAAAAATAGAGAGAGAAAATTGAGTCCTAAGCAATCAGATCAAGGAAGGGAAGTCTGTATAGATGTATGGATGTTTGCTTGTTGTTTATATGTATGTTTGTAAAATTGTATGTGATTTTAATATAATAAAAGATAATGAATAAAAAAGACAAAGAAACTTCTCTCTCCATCAAGAGAGAGATTCCATCTTTCTTTCATTTCAGGTATCTTTTATGCTTTGTTGTTGTTGCGTGCCTTCAAGTCATTTCCAACATGGTAACCCTAAGACAAATCCATCATGGGATTTTCTGGGCAAGATTTGTTCCTCTGAGGCTGAGAGAGCGTGACTTGCCCAAGGTCACCAAGTGGGTTTCCACGGCCAAATAGGGATTTGAACCCTGGTCTCCGGAGTCACAATCCAACACTCAAACCGCTACACCAGCATGGCTGGTTCTCTATCTTTCACCTTCACAAAATGGTTAACAGTCAAGAAAAAGGTACAAGTTCATCTGCCTCTATATGTTTCTGTGAGTCTCTTGTAGTAGAATGATAGTGAGGTGGGGTTTATTTTTCATTTTAATTTTTTGAACAAGCATGGGAGGAAAAGGGACAACTTTTCTCTCTGCCTAATCGCCTAGAGACAATGGTGACTCACCAAAGAGGAATCAGGTAAATGGCTCTTTTTCAGCTGAGCTAAAAGCAATATGAATAGAAATCTGCCTTCTCCCCCAAAAGCAGCCCAGCAATTCTTCCAAGGGAGCTCAGAAAATTTAGTTTTGTGGACTCAAATTCCAAGACTGCACCACAGTCGCTGCAAAAATTTTTGGATGCACACTACTGAGAGATGCTTTAGCATATCTTCTTATATCTTAATTTAAGAGACCTGGATATGTGCGCTGGGGAAAAAGTTGATTTTTGTCTGAATATGTTTCATGGACTACTTTCGCCACACCCTGGGAAGAGTCTGGTTACAATACTCTTTTCAAAACTAGACCCAGGCTGGTGCAGACATGCCTAGGCTATTCTCCCAGGTGCAAATACTGTCATACCTTCATAGAAGGGGAACCTTTCATGTTTGGGTAATAACAGCTCTCTTAGGAAATCAAATATTTAGACAACAAAAGCCTCCCCTAGAGAGCCAAAACAGGAATCAACCCTTTTGTTTGGCAGCACAATTGCAGGCAAATGAATCATAGGCTGCATCTACACAGCAGAATTAATGCAGTTTGACATTGCTTTAACTGCAAGGGCTCAATGCTATGAAATTCTGGGATTTGAAATTTTGTAAGATATATAGCCTTCTCTGTTAGAAAGCTCTGGTGCCCCACCAGCCTACAAATCCCAGCATTCCATAGGATGGAGTCATGGCGGTTAAAGCGGTGTCAAACTGCATTATTTCTGCAGTGTGGCAGCAGTTTGAGAGACTGTCTGCAACCCCCCTGAGTACTTGCAAAAGGCGTTTCAGACTCACAACACGTAGGATTCAGTTTGTTCTCACATGCAGTTGTGAGTCATCGAGTGTTGAATATTTGAAAGGCACAAAGATCTAGGGATACACAACCATAAGTTTATGGAAATGTCTCTAAACACACACAGAATAATATTCCTTCTTTTATTGACTGTCACATTAGACAAGGCAGTCATCTTCTTGTGTAGGCCTACTTCAGTCGTCTTCAAGTTGTACCAACCACAGATGAAACAGGTTTAGTAGATATGGAAGTATCTTAGGATCATAGCATTGGAAGAGACCCCAAAGGCCATCCAGTCCAACCCCCTGCCATGCAGGAACTCACAATCCAAGCACTCCCATTCAGCCTCCGTTTAAAAACCTCCAGAGAAGGAGACTCCACCACTCTCTTGAGGCAGCATCTTCTACTGTTGAACAGCTCTTTACCATCAGGATGTTCCTCCTAATGCTGAAGTGGAATCTCTTTTCCTGTAGTTTGAATCCATTGCTCCATATCCTAGTTTCTAAAGCAGCAGAAAACAAGCTTGCTGCATTGTCAATATCGCATCCCTTCAAATATTTAAACATCGCTCTCATGTCACCTCTTAACCTTCTCTTCTCCAGGATGGCACCATTTTGCTCAACCTCCTCTGGACACGCTCCAGCCTGTCCATACCCTTCTTGAATTTTGCTGCCCAGAACTGGGCACAATATTCCAGCTGAGGTCTAACCAAAGCAGAATCAAGTGATACTATTATGTCCTGCTAGACGCTATACTCCTATTGAGGCAGTCTAGAATCGCATTTGTTTTTTTGGCTGCTGCATCCCATTGTCGGCTCATGTTCAGCCTGTGGTCTGTCAAGACACCTAGATCCTTTTTGAATGCCCTGCTGTCAAGTCAGCTGTCACCAATCCTAAATCTGAGCCTTTTTTTCCCCCTGCCAGAATGTAGTACCTTACATTTCTTACTGCTGAAAATCATTTTGTTAGTTGCGGCCCAGCTTTCTAATCTATTAGGGTCATTTTGAATTTTGATCCTGTCTTCTGGGGTTATTAGCTACTCCTCCAAACTTGATGTCATCTGCAAATTTGATAAGCAGGCCCTCTACTCCTTCATCCAAGTCATTGATAAAGATGTTGAATAGCACTGGACCCAAGACAGAACCCTGCGGCACCCCAATGGTCACTTCTTTCCTATGTCTCCCCATAGTCCTTCTTTTGTACCAGACTTCTCCTTTCTGAGATCAGAGTCCAACTGAGAAGCCAAGCACCCAAGTGCACGTCCTCCAGAATTTCACCGAAGAAAACCAGGAGATGTGTGGCCAAGCGACATCAGAGTGTGGTCAAGATGGGTTCGACTATCCTGGGAGCTGAAGTCCAAGAAGTAAGTGACAACAACATCCGAAGAAGTACAGTCACGTCTACGAAAGCTCGTGCTCTCAGTTTCTTTCTTTCGGTTAGTCTCAAAGGTGCGCCAAGATCTCTTTGCGCAATAACAAACACAGATGCAACAGTTTGGAGTTGCATCTGTCATCCCTCTTCATTCATATATTCACATACTTCCCAACCATCCTCCAAAACTCCTAAAATTCTTCAGGATTTTTGCTCCCCGGAGGAGAGCGATGAGCAATTCAGGTTCATACTGGAGAAAAATGATGTTTGCGTGCGCTGTTTTATCAGCGGCGTTTATGGTCTTCCTTATCTGCTGTTTGTGATTCGTATGCTGTTTTATGGTGCTTCCCCCCCCCCCCTTTCTTTTTTTTAAAGCATGGCTTCGCTTTTATTGTACTTTTTATTTTTATTTTTTAAAATAACATTTATTCAGTTTGGACACACACAAAAAAACAGACAT